TCCTTGTGCCCTGATTACTAGCAGCTTCAAAAGCCACATACACAACAAAAGAAATACAACAAAGAGTGTTCCTGAAATTGGGAGCTCATTTATACAAACAATCTCCTGGGCTTTATACTGTTCTGTGGTTGGTTGATCAGTGTCATCAGGCCCGCGTCTCGTTAGCTAGGACAAGCCCCCATTGGGGCGCCAACTGGCCCTTGAATGCGATGCACCACGTTGGCATCCAAACAAGGGGCAGCAACACAAACCTCGACAAAGGGCACCTCTTGCAAACTCACCTTCTGGCTCCGGCGGAGGTGGAGGTGGCGGCGGAGGGGGAGGTGGTTCTGGCGAAGAAACAAGCGCCGTCAATCACACTTGGCTCCAAATCGGACAGGGCACCGTACACCGGGCTTCGCCGACAGTGATGTTGGGCGACCAAAATAGAACAAGGGGCAGCAACACAAACCTCGACAAAGGGCACCTCTTGCAAACTCACCTTCTGGCTCCGGCGGAGGGGGAGGTGGCGAGCAACGCCGTCGTCACCCGGCTCCAAATCGGACGAGGCACAAATCGTATTACTTCGCCGACAGCGTGTTGGGCGACTTCAAGAGACAAAGGGCAACAACAAGCCATTAAGGGCTCCCACAAGAAAACTCTGGCTCGGCAGAGTGTGAGGAGGAGAGGGTGTGGGGGAGGGGCCTCTGGCAAGCACTAAAATCAATCCGCCCAGCTCAATCGGACAATAGAGAACACAAATCATTGTGCTTCGCCGACAGCGATGTTGGGCGACCAAAAATAGAACAAGGGGCAGCAACACAAACCTCGACAAAGGGCACCTCTTGCAAACTCACCTTCTGGCTCCGGCGGAGGGGGAGGTGGCGGGGGAGGGGGGGGTGGCGGGGGAGGGGGCTCTGGCGAAGAAACAAGCGCCGTCAATCACACTTGGCTCCAAATCGGACAGGGCACCGTCCATTGTGCTTCGCCGACAGCGATGTTGGGCGACCAAAAATAGAACAAAGCGTTGAGACCCGGGCTCATCATGCCACCAAAGAAGCCAAACGCGAACAAAGCCGCAAGGCAAAAAGCAAAAACAGTAGCAGATTCGATTTCAATACCTTCTGGCTCCGGCGGAGGGGGAGGTGGCGGGGGAGGGGGCTCTGGGGAAGAAACAGAGGCCGTCAATCGCACGCTTGTCCCCAAATCGGACAGGGCCCAGTCCACTGGGCCTCACCGAAAGCGACCCAAAAGCAGGACAAAGCGTTGTGCCCCGGGCTCGTCGTGCCACCACAGAAGAAAAATGCAAAAAAGACTAAATGGCCAAAGCAGAAGGCAAAAGCGAGCGTTCGCAGATTCGAATTCAACACCTTGTGGCTCCGGCGGTGGAGGCGAGTCAAACGGGGGAAGGAAGCCCATCGAGCCGGTCAGGCATCCCGAAATCACGAGGGCGAGCGCCAGGGCCGTGGCCGGGTGCGAATGGCGCGGTCTGGCCATCGCCACGGCCGGGCTCCCGCCCGAAATGGATGGGCGGAGCGACGCGGCGACTGGCGCTCGGGGATCGAGGTACGATCCGATCGCGCCGGCGCGGCGCGGCGGGCGCTGCTGCGGCGCGCAGCCGCGGCGGGAAGCGGCTGTGAGGGCATGGCCGTGGTGAACTTCGCCGTGCGGGGCGTGGTCGAGCGGCTTGGCCGCCGAGAGGTCGCATCGCGGCGAGGGGACAGGGCGGCTGGTGGAAGGGGTGGCGGTGTAACCGGGGGGCTGATGATGGGTCCTCGTCCTCGGTCCAGGTGTTGGCGGCAGGTTCCACGTGCTTGCCCAACAATTGTGATGGGGGTAATGAGGCCGTTGACGGAGGCAGGCAGGGTCGCGGGGCGGCAAGCCCCGGCTGGGAACCGTGGGCTCGAGCACACGGCAACGGCTTGCAGCGGAGCAAAGAGACAACAGGAATTCTGTCCCTTCTGTATCCGGTCTGTTCACCGGCGTCCATCATTCAGTTCCTGTTGTCATCACCTCTTGTAATGCGTCCAACCATTGGCAATGCTCAATCAGTTCTGGTTACAACACCGCCATCGTCGTTGCCAAGGCAATTTACGATGCAAGGCAAGGAGGTGGCCGTCAGCTTCATATTTTGCCCGAGCAACTTGTGAAGCGGCGTCCATGATTTGCTCACTGAACAAATCAATGGCATTGAAATCGAATGTACCAGACAAGCAAATTCCAGACTCCCCCCATTCCTGATTTTCGACGTCAACTGGGAATTTGCCCACACCCGTGGCGCCAAAAGTGCCACACAACTGCCGCAAGGACGACGCAAGCTAAGAGGTGGCTCAGGCCGTCACCGGTTGGTGGCAAACAATTTAAACGCTTTTTGGGAAATTTCCATGCCTAAAAACTGCTCGCCTCCAATTAGTGAACCGGTCCCACGACTGTTTGATTTCTTAGGCGCTATGTCGATTTTGTTATGCTTGGCATCAATGTGACGTTAAGCTCAGACCCCACCCACCCCAACCCCTGATGTTTCTCGCTTTCTGGTGTTTTCAATGTGATTTCGTTTGCTGCTGTATCTCCTGGTGCGTTTCCTATGGGGCTGCTTAGCTTGAACACCGTGGGTAAACACTGAGCACGGTCTGCGGGCCGACAGTGCGCTCGCCTGTTTTCGTGCCTTGTGATGTTCCAGGGCTCCCTCCTATAGCGCCTGAAGAAGTGGTGGAAAAGGGGGGTTTCGCCTCGGTACTTTGTAACGCCATGTTACAAGCCCACTTCCCCACCCATCCCCTCCCTCCTTAGTGTCGATCCTTATGTTGAAGCCAGGATGACCCAACAAATTGCCTAACAGTGGAGCACAATTTCCAGCCGTTTTTCAGAAGAAAAATGCTCAGAGTTGTACACATTTGGGTGGGCTCAAATGTGGGATTTCAATTGCCATTATAGGTAAGGCGGGCAGCCTTGATGGCTGTAAACTGACACATTGTCAAGGCTTCCTGACTGAGCATTTAAGGGAGGTTGAAGAGCAAGTCATGAGTATTTTGCTGCTGATCGGCAGCTTTTGGGTCATCTTTCCATCTTACGTCGATTTTGTTCCAATTACATAATCACTTCGCGTCACAAGTTTGGAAACCCCCCACACCCCTAGCGACGCTAAGTTACCTTCAAATTGACGCTATGCATAAAAATTTTGACATAGTGTCTGCTGTATGGAGGAAGAAACTCCCTTAGAATGAATGGACCCACAACTGCACTTCCTTGGATCGTCTGCTTTGGCAGCCGAGAGCGCTCTTTGTCTGCCTCTTCGCCGTATTCCCTTTGTCCCAAGTTAAGCCCTCATGCTGCTCATTGAGACCACATTGGCGTCAGTGACCGCACTCTGCTCTAAGCAACATGACCTGGGGAACAGTATACTTCGACTGCTATTGCTCAGGCGCCTGAGGCTGGTAGGCCGGCGTAGCAAACAAATTCTGGCGATTGCCACATAAATGAACATTTGCTCAGACCTGGCCAATAATACCACAGCAGGGGTGGTCCGAGACCGACAGCAGAACGGCAATTTTTGAGGGTCTTGAGGCAATTTGGGAATTCTTAAATTCCCGCATGTGGATGAATATGAAATGTGCAATTCCCAACATACCAAAGTGATATATGCATCATATGTCACAGGAGATAGTGGTAGCTACCACCTAATGATCACTAGATGATGCTTTTGAGCTTTTTCGAAAAAGGTACAACGTATAGAATTCTATAGAAAAGGGTCAAAAGTATTTTTTTCCCATTATTGGTGAAAAGATTTCCATCAGAAAAATTTCCCCAATGCTTGGGAACGCCTGCCAAGATCTCTGCAATTTTTCTTGCGAGCCTTTGTCCAGCAATTAAGGAGATTAAAGGCAATAGTTGGATTCCCAGGGGCGAGCCCCGCCTAGGGTCTGCTTATTTGAAAACTTATCGACGGGGACATGAAGGAACAATGAAAACGAGGTCGCCGCAGATCGCTGCGGCAAGACTGAGCACCGCCAAAACAGCTCTGCCTCTGGTCACAGTCTTGAGCACCAAGCGACTGCTGGTTGCTCATCCTGGCGTTTGAAGCCTCCACCACAACCAGAAGCGCGATGCTTCTGAGGTCTTGTCGCGGACCCCTTGGGGCGGTGTGGTTGTGTCTTATTGAGACACACCTGTTCTCGTGAGCGCTTTGGAGCACCCTACCAGCGACGGTGGAATGTTGCGCAATAGTGACGCTCACATTTGCTCACTTCTGTTCACTGTCGAATCATTGCACATTACATCCATCTCAGTGTACAAATAGGGCGCCAATCCACTGCACCGGCACGGCACAATGGCGTCATCTCTCTCGGAGACGGAAGCGGCCACAAACAATCCAACAAAGCAGCAAGGATAGAAACTTTCATCATGACGTCACCTTGCATCATCTTCGCGTGTGCCAGCAGTCCCTTGCTCAGATGTGCAAACGGTTTCGCACCAGACCACTAGCGTCTGATGCAATAATCATGCATATAAAGAAAAGCAACAGCGCCATGAATATTCTCGTCAAGAGCAACTGCACAAAAGGAGGACATCCAATGGGCGACAAACAGCTCTGTCGCCGACCCAATGTACAACGGAAACACTGGCCCATAAAGACTGCACCAGAGAACCCGGCCCAAAGATTAACTGGAAGAGGCATGCAGGCCGACGCACCCCCAATCACTCTCGCCCAGTCCCCTCGCCATATCACACCAGTCCAAGAAGCTCAGACAAGGAGAACGACCATCCATGGGCGCTCTTGGCCGAGAGCTCTCGCCACAAACCCAGACTGTGCTGTGACCGGCGACGGTCCGTCTTTAGGAAAAAGGGATGAAAACAAGTATTGTGAAGTACTGTGCCTCGTGCCACTTTCGCAAACAAAGGTTTGCTAAAGCTACCCAAACTAAAGGTCAGGGAACGCGTGGGGGTGCACAACGAACCGTGCACAAACCCGCGGAAAGCACGCAGGAGTGTGTAGGACAAGCGTGCGAGGGCGAGCGAGCGCCCTAGGACCTCGTGATGCGGCTGATGGCGACGTTCTTCACGATGTGGAGCCTGTCCTTTTCTACCATCTTGTTCCACAGGGTGAGCCAGCCCTCGCTGAAGGCGAAGACGGCGTCCGGCTGCCTCGTTTTGGGCAGCTTGCTGGTCAGGACGCCGTCGATCACCTCCGTGGTCATCCACACCATGCCGTAGTAGGCGGGTATCTCCTCGAGGTCGCCGTAGCCCTGGACCTCGTACATGTAGGTGAACAGGCCGCGCACGGCGCCCACCTCGAACCTGTGGCACAGCGATGGCGCACCCAAGGTTTGCTGGTGGAGGTCACCAAACGTGCGGTCGACGTTACTGTATCTGTCGGTTGTGAGCACCGCCAACCGGCTGTGCATGGTGCCAACATATTTGAACGATACACTTACAAGGGGTGGATCCAATTCAGCGGAATCAAATTGTGCGCAAATCGTCGATTGCGTGCAAGTGAAGGCAATTAAAATAAGCTAAATAACACTTGTTCAAACTTGCACAAAGTTTACGGGTTTGGGTAATTTTCGTGCTCTTAGCATGCAGAGCATTGATGAAATGAGTTCGTGTGTGTTCTCAAAAAGTGTTGTTTAGTCCTTTCCTGCTGGTGGGCAGTTTCGCTTTTCCATCTATTTGTTCATTGCGATAAATCGTGCGATTAGGAACGCGAGAGAAACACATCAAGAAATGATCTAAATGTAGGACTGCATTTTGATTTGGATTTGCCAACACAATGTCAAAAGCGACGCTGAAAACGTAAATAAAAGTAATCGAATTTCTGATAATAGCACCATGTATACCAGAATCTACATGACTGAAGGATATAGGGTGTTGAAAGCGGCAGACACCAGAATGAGCGCAATCGCTGTATTCTCATTCCAGCAGAAATGAGCACATTTCGTGCACACTTTCAACGCAATCACAAGACTCCTTTTGCTTCCAAACTACAACAAGTAGCCAGCCAGTTAGAAAACATGTTGCCGTCCTGCAATAGCGCAGTGAGAACGCCGCAACAGCAACTAGGAGCTCCTGCGAGGAGACAAGCAATGGCGGAAACACGGCCAGCTGCAACAAGCGAAACCCACAAGCAACAACACATTCACATCCACACGAACAGACAACAACTCGTTGCACAAAGCCCTGCGTGGTGTGTCCCACCTGTCCAGGAACTGCCCGAAGGTGTGT